TCTACCTCGTCGTTACAATTCTCCGGGAGAGGGCTCAAACGCTTCCGGCGATGATGGTGACCCGTGATATTCGGGCCATACTGCATCCACGTCGTGAAGTTCGGAGACAGTAACGTCAGTTCCCCTAGGTAGCAGGGTCCTCCTAAGGCATTCTGCGGGATGCCCTGCCAGGCTCTATCCCCACAGATCAAGAAGATCCCAGGGGGCAATGCCTTAGCAGTTTTGTTATTCCATAGCACCTCGTTAACCCCCCGCTTAAAGGTGAACCCATACCCATAAAAGTCCCAAACTGCCGTACAATTAAATGAGGATCTACCGCTAGATTTAGAAAGGACCCCACCCTTCGACAAGCAGGTTGTATTGCGCCCTGTGAAGACCCGTGTGTAATTTTTAGTATACCCGCAATAACCTGAAGTAATAGAGAAAGCCTCCGTGTTCACAGGACTAACCACAGTCCAAGAGGTCTCATTGTATGGCTTCAACCGCGGATCTGTGCCTGCCCACCGGGCAATTAAGGCCTGCAGTTGTCCTTTCAATCCCCCGTAGCCGTTGAATACCCCGTCAAACAAGTTGCAGGTAATAAAGCCACCATCCTTCCAGCACACTGACCCAAAGGTAATACAGGTACGTGTGCCATTATACGATCCATTCCGTACCTTCTGCGACCCCAAGATATCTAATTCTTGTGGATCCCATGGGAGAGACACATTCAGAGATTTTATCAAACACGCCGTTTGGCTTGCTAAATCGGCGTCGTTACGGCAAGCAGAATGGTTTGTGGTGTACCCCGCAAAGGCTTCTAACGCATATTGAGGGATACCTACCAGGCAGGTGCGAAAAGGCGATGTTGCCGATTGTAAACTAAGGCAAAAGTCATTTTGGCCTGTCTTATTTGCCCAAGTAACCCATAAATTCCCTGGCTGCGATATGGAGTGTACATCAGCGCCCGTTCCCGTGACCCCACATAGGATTAATAAACAGACAAACACCGTAATTCCATTAATTCTCGTCGGCAGCAAGGGCTTCTTCTCCGGGTCTCTCTTGTCTGCCTTCAAGGGCCTCTTCTTCGGGTCTCTCTTGGTTGTGTTCCCGGAGTATCCAGTCAGAAATGCCTGCAAAGGGAGAGCTCGCCTCATCTTTTCCAGCCACATTACTTTCGCGACTTAGGTCCGGTTTGACCTTTCTGGAAGGGATCCAGATAATTTTATCCGTCTCCCCATTCTTAACTGCTGCATAACCCCGACCCCAGACCAAAACCTTCCATCCCTTTTCCCATTCACCCGCTTCCGTGCGTATTTTAACAGGTGGCCCTTCTGTAAGGATGGTCGGTTTCCAGTGTTTCTGCATCGGGGTCTTGACATTGTCACCCCGCTCGAAGTGATTCAACGCATACAAAGCTTTCGCCAATATTTCTCCTTGCTTAGTCGTTGGGACCCTTCTCATAAACCCGTCTCCCTCCGCGAGTACGCGGATCTTATCTTTCAGAAGACGGTTAGCTCGCTCCACCATGGCCTGACCTTGGGAATTCCCTGGGATTCCCGTCGTATGCGCTATTCCCCACCTCGCCAGCCACTCTCGAGTGGATCTTGAGGTGAAGCATGACCCATTGTCTGTCTTGATTGCCTTGGGCTTCCCTAACGCGGCAATAGCCGTGGCCCAATGATGCTGCGCCGCTATTGATGTGACACGCCCATGTTGGGTCACTACCACTACCGACGAGGCAGTATCCACAGTGACGGCTAGCCAAGAGCGCGCAGCCATTCTCGGTTCGAGCGTGAAGTCTGTCTGCCATATCTGCAGGGGCCCCAAACCTCTAGGGTTTACCCCAGCCTCCAATGCCGGGGCCGAATTGCAATAAGGGCAAGCCTGAATAACCTCCCGAGCTTGTTGCATAGATATATTGCATGCCCTAGACAGAGCACGAGGCCCGATGTGGAAGGCCGTATGGAGGTCTTTGGCTTCCCTTAGTGGGTATGCCTGGAGGGTGGCCTGAGTGTCCGCCATGGTATTTCCCTCTGTAAAGAACCCTGGTACATCAGAATGACTACGTACATGAAGGACCGCGACCATGGCCGTTCTCTGGCTTAATGCATCCTCCAGGACAAAGGCGGCCGTCGTAGACGGGACCCCCTCTTGCCCCATCTTGAGTAGCATTTTCGCGACAAACGCGGAGTCCGTGACCACATTAGTAGGCGTTGTTGGCCATAACAGAAGTGCCATGGCCACGGCGCGAACCTCTAACTGTTGTACACTTGCCTCTGGATCAATAGTCTCCTTTACCTGCCACTCAAAACCTTCCCTCCACACCATCACCCCTTTATGGGTACTCGAGGAGGCATCGGTGAAGACCGTGGGCCCTACCACGGGGCAATCAGTAACCCTTATCTTCAGTGAAACGCGTAGCGGTCGCGCAATATCAAAAATAGGTGGCGAATCGCCGCTCCTTATTTTTCCCGCAAATCCCCTAAGGGCCAGCAAGATCCCCTCTGGGAGTGGGAGATCTTCTCGGAGACACGCGGGTAACAGAAGAATCTCAACATCCTTACCGAAGGTTCTCACTGCCAAGGCGCGGAGCTTAACGATCAGGAGAGCAAGCACCTCCAGCCAAGCGGTGAATGCTCTAGTGGGTTGAGTGGAAAACACCCACAAGCATGGTCTTGGGTGTGTCGCCAACCCCTGTCCTAGGACCCCTATCGCCCCTTGCTCACATCGAGAAACTGCTCCCTCTAGTGGTAGAGCAGGGTCCCAACGATCCAAAGAAGCGGTAGTGCTGAGCTGTACAATTTCGTTCCACGCTAATCTCATGTCCAGGTTCCACTCTCTCTCCTCATTCGGATCTGACCCCTTCAACTGTTCGTAAAAGGGGCTCATCAGTCGCGGTGGGATCCCTAACGCTGGTCGGATCCATTGAAGGGATCCCACCAATTTCTGAACATCCCACAAAGTGGAGATCTTCGGCTCTGCTAATAGACCCACTGGAGTTACATAGGTACTTCCTAACCGATAGCCAAGGTACTCTACGCCAGGTTCTCTTTGGATTTTGTCCTGAGAAATAGTAAAGCCCGCCCCCTCTAGTACACTTATGATCTCCTCTCCCATCATTTCCACTTTCTCGCGGTCAGGGGCAGCTATCAAGAGATCATCCATGTAGTGCAGCATACACAAAGATGGATGTTTACGTCGAAGGGGTTCCAATACCCGTCCCACTACCAGCTGACAAATAGTGGGAGAACATGCCATCCCCTGAGGCAGAACCTTCCATTGAAATCTGCGTGCAGGAGCCTGGTTATTGACAGAGGGAAGGGTGAATGCAAAGGCTTCGCGGTCCTGCTCCGCAAGGGGAATAGAGAAGAAGCAGTCCTTGAGGTCCAGTACCATCAGGGGCCAACCACGTGGGAGCGCCAAAAGAACTGGTGCCCCCTGTTGGACTGCCCCGAAAGGGACTAGTTTAGCATTAACAGCACGCAAGTCATGCAGCAGACGATAGGATCCGGACGCTTTCCGGATCACAAAGACAGGTGTATTCCAGCAGCTAAGCGAAGGTTCTATGTGCCCTAATTGTAATTCCCTTTCAGCCAGATGCATTAGCGCTACATGTTTAACCTCGGGAAGGGGCCACTGATCAATCCACACAGGGGTGTGGTCTGGCTTCCATTTCAGTGGAATAGCCAGATGTAGCGCTACAGTAAGAACAGTGGCCCTTTCTATAAATTTGTCAAACGGAGCCCTAGGCCCTGCAGACAATCTCTCCCTAGGATACTTCCTCTGACCAGGGCTACCGCTGGGAAAATAAGCAGAGGTCGCTCCAAAGAGCCGTCTCGATTTATGACCCCAACTTCAATCATTTCTCGGGATTTCCGCATAGGAATTCCCCCTCCTATCCCATAAACTTGTGTGCTCGCAACTTCCATCAATGGCCAGTCAGTGGGCCAATCCTCTTCTGAGATGATAGTAACATCAGCCCCAGAATCCAGCAGCGCTGTGATATAAACCGTGCGTTGCTTCACTGGGTGGCTGCCCGTGTTAGTCATCATAACCCTGACCAGGGGGCGATCCTTGTGCTCCATAGTCATTGCCAATGACACGGTGGGATGAGCTGAAATAGGCCACGGCCCTGAGAAAGGTCTCTTCCCAGCCCGATAACCCCAGCCCATACTCTCACCCCGCGGGGCATGTTGAAATCTCCGGCATTGCTTAGCATTATGCCCCGACCCGTCGCATAGTTGGCACCGATCACGGTCACCCCCTGACCTCTTTCCTTTAGGACATTGCGCCTGGTAGTGCCCTGGGGATCCGCAAGAATAGCAAATTCCCCGGACGCGACCACCCGGTCCACCTTGTCCATCCCTTTCTTTGTTGACTACCGCCATGACTAAGGGTTGGATGGCTGACGACAGTTCACTACCATAAATATACAACAAGCAAAAGTATGAAGTCAGTTCA